TTTTTGGATGCTAGTCCAACACAAGGGGAGGAAAGTTAGAAGTAAGGGTCCTATCCTACCAAGCAAAGGACCAGATATCCCAAGAGAGAATAATAAGAATGGGTCAAGATTTAGTATGATTGCGGACATGGAGGAAGCCGTAAAAGGATCAAACTAGCTGGTAGTTAAAACCCTTAAACAGATGAGGGTCTCAAGTGAGAGACAACCCCCAAGGAGCAAAGGAAAAAGGTTGATGGTGGAAGACAATGATCAGAAGACGATGGATACCCTTCTCGAAATCATGGGTTCTACCATGTTGGCCAATACCATGCCCACGATTGGACGTATGATACTCATGACTAATATGGCCAGAGAATCTAGTAGGATAAAGGTACGCATCAGTTCCCGTAGCATAGGAATGACTAATAATGAGACGTTTGTAATAAGTTAGAGTATTACTACACTGGAACCTTCAAAGAATACCGTTATAATAATTAAATATAGGGCGGATCAAGACCACGAACTCAATCTGTCCTCCCCCCATAGCTCCATGCCACCAACGATCTCATTGAGAGATCGCATCAGGCCGACAATCAAACCTCCTGATAGACTTGGTGTCAGTAAAGGTATAAAAATTAATAATACTTTCAAAAAATAAAGTAAGGATAAGAAAAGGAACAAGGCAACTACGTCCACTGATTCCACTACGATCAACCCTCTTCTGTCCAAAATTCAAGAGCTTGTTAATAAGAATGCAATCCTCATTTCAAGCGCTGTCCATGCTCCTTAGAAAAAACAAGCATGGTCCCTCTTCTGAGTATCAGCTCCTCTTTCCCTTATCATTACCCTATGGATTGTTTATTTCTTGTATAGAATTGTCAAGGCGGTGCAAAAACTCGTCTCCGACCCGCCCTAAAGTCATTTGTCAATATCCACAACTCAGCCTTGATTGCGTTGTTGGAGCCTAGGACGGCAAGCAGATAAAGTGATCAAGAACATGAGCTTCGACTACTCCTCTAAAGTTGAGACAGTTAGTTTTTCGGGGGACATTTGGATGATGTGGAGAGTCTATCCAGGTTACTGTGGATTACAAGAATCGTCAGTTTATCCATTCCAGGAAAAGTTGGAATGACGGTTGGGAAGATTTTTCCCTCTCTATTGTCTACAGGAGCCCAAACCCCCATAAATGAAAAGACCTTTGGGAGCAGCTCACCACTGTCATGCATAACTTGGATCGTCCTTGGCTCCTTGTTGGAGATTTTAATATCATCATAGAGAGACGACCGAAGAGGGGGAGCGGCTAAACAGTCTAAAAGTTGCGCTCTTTTAAACCAATTTACTGATATTAATTCTTTACAGCAGCTTGATTATGTAAGACTGAACTTTACATAGCGACGTGGGACCCTTTTTCAACGGCTTGATAGAGATATCTGTAACCAAAGATGGTTCAACCACTTCCTGGAGGCCATCGTTTACCACCTTCCAAAAGTGCAATCTAATCATAGAACTATCCTGATTATCCCTTACACCCATCACTCTCATAATAAGGACCCTAAACCTTTTTACTTTTTAGCTGCGTGGCTATCCCACCCCAATTTTCCTAACTTGGTTAGGAGAAATTAACAAAACCATCTTCCTATCCAGGAGAACTTTAATAACCTTAGCAAGACTGTGTAGGACTAGATAGAAATGTGTTTGCTCATATCACTAAGAGAAAACGGATCCTCCTAACAAGACTAGATGGGATCCAACGAGCATTGGAGAGACACCACTCTGTTTGGCTTCAAGAGCTGAAAAAATTCATTGAAAGAGGAATTAGAGGGGGTGTTATTGTAAGAAGAGATGCTCTGGAAACAAAAATCTCTATGTAATTGAATTTCTCTAGGGAATAGGAGTATCAAATACATTCATGCCCACACCATCTCTAGAAGGAAAAAAAAACAAAATTAGTATTCTTAAGGATGGAGATGGTAACTGGAGTACCGAAGAAGGCCAACTTTAGGTAATAGCCTCCACCTTCTTTAAGAAACTTTATACGGCTGAAGAGGGACGCATTCCACAGTACCCTATTAGAGACTTGTTCCCGAAGTTAACAGCAACTATGGTCGCTCAATTAGACTCTAAGCTTACGAACCATGAAATTTATGACGCTTTATCTAGCATGCACCCGTTGAAAGCTCCCGGTGTGGATGACCTTCATGCAGCATTCTTCCAGAACCAATGGGAGACTATAATCGAGTCGGTATGTGCAATAATCAATGGTGTCTTCCATGGCGAATAGCTACTTGTTGAGATCAACAAGACCCTTATTACCCTTATTCCTAAAGTTGTGAGACCAGAGACTATTAAAGAATTTTATCCGATCAGCTTATTGACGATGTTATATAAAATTGTTACTAAATTCATTGTCAATAGACTCAAGCACCCAATACTTTTTTTTGTTAGACCGACCCAAACTAGCTTTGTAGCGGATAGGAATGTCACGGATAACATTGTTATTGTCCAAAAAGTGGTCAATTCTATGCGACATTTGCAAGGAGAAGACAAGTGGATGACCATTAAGGTGGACTTAGAAAAAGCTTATTATCACATCCGTTGGAAATATGTGGAAGACACTCTGCTTGATGTTGATCTCCCTCCTAACCTTATCAGAATCATCATGCAATGTATCTCCTCTTGTTCCATGCAATTGTTGTGGAACGGCTGTCTCACCCAAGAGTTCCGACCTACTAGAGGCATTCGACAAGGGGACTCGCTTTCACCCTACATTTTTGTGTTATGCATGAAACGGCTATCCCATTGCATAAATATCTGGTTAAGAAATGGTTCGTGGAAGCCAATCCACTTTGGTAAGAAGGGTCCTGCCCTCTCACACATCTTCTTTGCCGATGACTTGGTACTCCTTAGGAAAGCCACTGAGGACCAAACTCAGGTTGTAAAGGAAGTCTTAGAGGATTTCTGTGTCAGCTCAGGCCACAAGGTGAGTGCGACCAAAACACTTACTTTCTTTTCTCGCAATATTACCACAGGTGATTGGGTTTCAAGTCTCCAATAATCTTGGTAAGTATTTAGAAGTTCTCTTACTACATGAAAGAGTAAACAAAAATACTTATCATTACATCCTTAAGAATATTAATCAAAAGTTATATGGTTGTTACGTTCATCCTCTTTCCTTTCCAGGGCATTTAACTTTAGTCAAATGACAAGATTGTCCCCGCTTATGCTATGTAGACCATGGCCTTGCATAAATACCTATGTGATCATATTGAAGCGGTGGTCAGAAAGTTTATCTGGGGTCAGGGGAGTAATAATCGAAAAATCAATCTTGTCAGTTGGACTGACATGTGCATGTCTTACGACACTGGAGGACCGAATTTTGGTCTGTCTACAAGCAAAATCAAGTTTTCCTAATGAATTGAGCTTTCCTATGGTTGCGAAGCCCGATCTACTATGGGT